GTCAACAAAACGTACTCTTTGTTCCACCGAGAAGCCGCTGACCGTAATGCTTGGTGACAAGGGTTCTCAAGTTAGTACTAAAGAGTAGTGAAGGCATTGCTAAGTGAAATATTGGAATATTTTTGGTTACTTTTCGTTCTTCAAAGCCATCGGATTTTACAGAAGCATGGAGCAGATCAAAGCAAGGCATATTGTAGTTGGAAAATAACAAACAACAGAACATCAAGACACGAACTGATGGAATTTGCGGCTTCTTTTTAATTGCCACTCAACGATCGCATCCTTCCAAACTCTTCTCAGTTTTTTCGGTTTTGAGGCTTCAGATCTGGCTTTGAGAGAAAGATTGGCCGGCAAGACGTTTGATATAAGGAGTAAGTCTATGAATCACAATGGATACAAATGGAGCTAAACTTGACACGGCGAGCTAGGAACACGTTATCGGAGAAAATAATAGAAATAAACAGAATATAACAGCATCAGAATGGCACAAATCCTGGCAAAAATGTTACAGGTAAGCTTCAATTTATTGTGTTGCATTTCATGTATAACTTAAGTTAACTAGTCATAGCATATAAGCGCAAAGTTTAATAAGTGAAACTCGAGCGCGGGAAGACAAGATAACAATGACACATGCAATATCTATCAATTAGTTGTTGTGTGATAACTAATGGGTAATTAGTCAGTAAACAATGAATAATGACCAAAGTTAATGGAGAACAATAGGTTATCAGTGAGTAATTATTTGATTATTTATTGACCATTGGCCACACTCAGTGGAATATGTTGATGACTAATTCAATAATAATTCCTAACAAAATCCAGTCTGTTAAATCATCAGTGTTAGTTTTGCACTTTATTGGATAAATTACATTTTAGAGACCATGATAAAATTTCCCTTTTCTCTGTTCTTAATAAAACAAGAATGGTTATGGAATTAGATTAAGGGGCTAGCAGTTCTGGGCCCATCCTCCGAGGCTGCCCACAGACTTTGACAAGGGACTATAATAATTGTAGTTCCAATAGTTGGAACTCCGAAGTATGTAGTGGGTCCAATTCACATTGAAAGGTCCAGGGGTTCAAGTCCAGCTCTTGCCTAGAGCTGGATTTGTTTCTCCAAAGTCCTGAGTTGAATTTATCACCCTTGGTTGTATTTGTATTTGCCTGCTGGTTATGCCTCCTGCCAGTTGGAGGTAAAATCTGGCTATGTATACACCAAAAGTTCACCTCCATTATAAACAAACTATTATTTTGTTTTAACCCATTAGGAGTCTATTGCATTATGCTCCTGTACTTGTCTGTTGTACCATTATTGATTTTATTTTTTAACATGTAGAAAAAGAGTAATCAATGTGAAAACAATGCAGAATCAATTTTAAAATTAAAAAAAATACCAATCAACTTATATCAATGACATCTAATAGTATACGAGTAGCGATCGGCCAACTCACAATTTGATCGCAGTATTTCATTAATAGTTGATTGCCCACTGAGTGTCGGCTGCAATATTACATGAGCTTATTTTTTGAATACAGTTTGATTGCTAAAGGTTATCATTGATGACTTGAATCATTGCATGACTCAACTCAAAATTCTATCTCGCTTTAACTATTGGAAAGTCATTCCTTCCCTTCGGGAGTGAAGTGCACCCTCCCTTACCCCTTACCTCTACTTACTTCCTTTCCCTCCCTTACTTTACTTTATCAATCTGTTTGTACCAGGGTAATGCGGGGGGTTGAACCTTTCGATCAGCTGAGAGTCATAAGGTCTATCAAGGGGGATGTTGTTTGACCACGAGCTGTCTTTGATGCATTTTATCCAGGACTTTTCGTGGATGTCCTACATTGGGTTTACTCTCTTTAGGTGCCCAAACCATTTAATTTTCTGTCTGTCCATATGTTGTACTGGTGGCAAACTTTCCATGTCTCTGATCTTCTCACTTCTGATATATTGGCCTGCCTGATTTTGCTGGTGGCCCTGTGTAAACATCCCATTTCACAGGTGGTAATTTTGAACTTTTGTCTTTTAGTTATTGCCAATGTTTGACTTTGGTATATCAGTGTCATGTCATTGTGTCTGTGTGGCAGTGAAAATGGAGTTAATTAGCTTCAAGTTTCACTTTGATTTCCATGGAGATGCTGTTATGCTTCAGGAGTGAGGCTTGTGTGTATCTTACCACATTAGCTTTCTGTGCCCTCTTTTCTATTTCACTCTTACCCATCCTCTGTAAAAGTTGACCACATCAACTTAAGACTCGCAAGAGTTTATAGTTGACTTTCAAAGTGGGCTAAAAATAACATTTTACGAACACTTTACCAAAGTATCGCCAAAACGGGTTTTATTTCGTTGGAGATGCCACAAAATTTCGTAAAGTTTCCCCAGGTTAGAAACGACATTGTATGTTTTCATAATTGTGATCGGCGAATATTAATTAATAAATAAATAAATTTATTTATTTAGTGTTCTAATTTCGTTCAAATTTGCTGGATTCCTAGACATTTTTTAATGTACAAAATCTGCCTTTTAATTCAAATAATCTATTTCAAACAGTAGACTTTGGATATTCTTTTACAGCCGCACCGCTACAGAGCGAAATGTTATTGAGACTCTTGAAAGCAATTTCTAATTAACAGCTCCTTTACTGCACCGCCAAAATAAAAACGCCTCTACAGTTCGCTTTTGCATCCACCAGAAAGATGATGTAAATGACTTTTGGAGGGCATAGTTTATTTGTGGCCCGAGTAGCATCATTTGCAGCCGAGCGGATCAATACACAAGGCCAAATCGTACAAATTTATTTCAAAAGGAAAGATTTTTTAACACGAAATCATGTTGTGGGCTGCAAATTCCATTTACAGCCCACACGTTGCCGTTTGGCCCGCGAAAAGCAGCATTTTAGAGAGGGCAGTTTGTCATTTGGCTGCGTGCGTGTAGCCAAACGGGCCAAGCGCCTAGTGTGTCTTATTTCTTATGTCATGAGCGATTAGTGTTAAGTTGTAGCCGATTTATTGGTGACTTTTAAGATCCAACGACGCGACGGCAACGAGAACCTCCCTTAAAAAGTAAATTTGTGTTCTTTCAGTCTTTAAAATGATTATTCCTACCCACTTACTTTGTCAATTGTAGACGAACCCTCCTGAAGTTGAATTCCAAGGGACCATATCGAAGTTCAGAAAGAGAAATAACATTTCGTCGTTGCTTGTTTGTGTTCTCCATAAAACGCGAAATTAGGCATTTTCACATCGCAGTAGTGCGAAAACCGCAAAGAAATGTACCAAAAAATGTGATGCACGTGCAAAGTTGTTGTTTTGGTTATTAAGACGGAATCCACTATGTCATTTAGTAATTTTGAATCATGTTCAATTCCATAAAAGCTAAAGGGAGGCTTATATCCGAGGGGAATTATAACCGGATGTATGTTTTTTGGTTACAGTTAAATGAGCCTATAACCCATCTACCTGTAAACCCAAAAAAATACATCCGGTTATGAGTCCCCCCGCCAACCCCCCCCCCTCCCTTCCCCCGAATATAAGCCCCCAGCTAGCATGTATTGAAATGGATTCGACTTTTTACGACGTTTTGAAGCTTAAAACAGCGATTAAAAAAGTATTTTTATCAACACTGGTATGTAGCTTGTTTTGAAACACCTTTCTTTCAGTTAAGAGCCACCCCCCGAATATACATACATATATTGCTCTTCAATGAAATACGTTCTACTCAGAATACAAGTATTTACATACAGACATACATGTTTTATTTATTTTGAGTCTTATACAATAAATAGTATATCTGTATTTGTATTTGTATTTTATTTTTTACTCCATCCTATAATGCATTAGTTGTACAATAATACAATAGTTGTACAATATTAATAATACATTAGTTGTACAATATCAATTGGTACAAAGTTGCTTAAACTACGTGTACATAATAATGATAATAAAAGAAGAAAATTAGAATGGAGAAGGGCACATTATAGTAAAACTAATCATGGCCCTTTAACAAGATTGACTTTATTCTTTTGTAGTTTTGTTATTCATTAAAACAGGAACTCTTACACGAAAAAAACTAAAGTATTTAAAGACACAAATGTAGTAACATGAAGTACTAACTGACCGCTGACCGGCGGTAGCGCTGTCATTCGTGAGAGCTGTATGAATCTATCGTATTAAAGTATGTTGTGTTGATGCTGTCGTCTCTGTACCTCTTCGGACTCAACATGGTGTCAGAAGCGTGACCTTCCTACTAGCCTACAGTTGCGGAGATCAAACCAATCGGAGAAACGGATCAAATACTGAGACGAATTGACCGGTCAAACTTCACGCGGATCCTACGCACGTGGTTCAAAACAAGATGGCGGAAAGCATGCCATTCGCCAAACCACCGGAACCGCTGGAAATTTCGATGGGAAATCCTGCTCACTCGTGGGGAAAATGGAAACAAAAATTCGAAATTTACCTCAAGGCAATTGGAGCTTCAAAGAAACCCGATGAAATGAAAGTGGAGCTGCTATTAAACCACATCGGCGAGCCGTGTTTGGAAATTTACTCGAATTTCACCTACCTACCTGAGCGTGACGACCCCGCGGGAGGAGAAGAGAAACTTCCAGCCGAAGACTCCGACAACTACGCGACCGTTGTGGCAAAGTTTGATGAATACTTTTAAAAAACGGGACCCTCAACTCATGCTGCGAGAGAAATTTTGGCTTCACCTTAAACGAGAGCCCACACAGACATTTGATTCGTGGGTGGTGACTGTCAAGGAAAGAGCCGCCGAGTGCAAGTTCCCAGCCGATTTCTATGAGCAAGCAGTTAGAGACAAACTTACCTTTTCCTGCAAGGAAGACAATTACAAGCTAAAACTCTATGACGAGGGAGCAGCCCTTTCACTCGAAAAGGCAGTGAAAATCCTGTCTTTGGAGGAAGCAACAAAACGTGAGTTACACGAATCAAAAACCGCAGAGATTGAGAGCGTCACACCGCGAGGGAACAGGCAAGACCCTCATGCTGGTCAAGATACAGAGCAAAGGAACCAGCGAGACTTCAAGAGGAAGCCCTTCCAAACAAGTGGCCGGAACTGTGGGTATTGCAACCGCCGACACCCCCCTGGAAAGAAGAACTGCCCAGCGGCAGATACACGATGCAGCAAGTGCAACAAAATGGGACATTTCCCTATCATATGCAAGAGTCCCCTGTCACCCGGAGGAGCTAAAGCCAGAGACCCCAGACCGTGATCACATCAGAAGGAAAGAGAAGGAGTACCGAGCTAAGATGAAATTCGATTATGACCATAGACACAAAGTAGTAGAGGGAAAGGAACTGTCACCCGGTGCCCGCATTTGGATCCCCGATTTAAAAGAGGAAGGAACAGTGATTAAGCCACACGAGAGTCCAAGATCTGTAATCATACAGACCCAAAACGGACAAGTGAGAAGAAACCGCCGGATGACAAGAAGAGTTCTGGTGGGAAGTTCTCCGGTCCCACCCCAGAATGAAGACTATGAGAATCATGAGCCGATACCAACAAGAGAGAGGAACCCAGACGTATCCTCAGCTCCTGGAGCCAGCCAAGAAGACTATGTAGAACTACCTGTCCCTGGGGACCAACCAGCAGTGGACAAGCCCTTGCAGCCTGAACCGATGCTGACACGCCTTAGACCTAGAGGAGCTCTAAGAAGACCGGACAGACTTATCGAACAATCCTAAGATTAGTTTCACTTTAGGACACTGGAGAACAGCGTTGTCCTTATTGACATTTAGTTAACTTAAAAAAAAAAAGAGGAAGATGTAGTAACATGAAGTACTAACTGACCGCTGACCGGCGGTAGCGCTGTCATTCGTGAGAGCTGTATGAATCTATCGTATTAAAGTATGTTGTGTTGATGCTGTCGTCTCTGTACCTCTTCGGACTCAACAACAAAAGACACAAAAAGGCAACGCAAACTACAGCTTCAAAAAACGTGGCCATCATCATCGCTGACCGCTGACCGCTCACCTCAACTATTTCCAAATAACTAAATTTACAAACAGCAACAAATTCCTAACCATATATGGCTAATAAGGTAATAATTAATTAAGTCCTAGAGTATTTACTTTTTGCCGTCTTCCCCTTTCCTTTTTTATTCCAGTTATTAGCCCCCCCCCCCCCCCCCCGAATATGAGCCCTCCTAAAACCTCTTACGCAGTTTTTGTATAAGTTTACGGTATTTGGATTTAACTAAAACACTTGCAGAGTCTTCGACGTAGGTCTCTTGTGACAAGGATGTAAACTATTGGGTCAATGGCCGCTGCAGCATGAGGTAATAGTCCAACTGTAACGCTAAATGCCTCAGGAAAGTTGGCTCGGCACGTTGCACAGTGAGCTTCCAGGACTGTTATCATGTAGAACACACCCCAGGCCATTACCATAGGAACTAAGATGACTAGGGTATTAAACGAAAGTTTGATTCCTTTGGCGATATCTTTACTCCGTCTTCGCGACAAGTCGTGGGTGTCACGTGACCTTTTCTTAGCGTTCCAAGCACATCTGCAGATGCTCAGATGGGCGAAGATCATCGCTAACGCGGGGATTCCGAAGCTGGTGATAGTCAAAGTCGTCATAAAAACTGTGTCAAAGACTCTTTTCTCCATAAGGTAGCGGGCCACACCAAGTCCGAACATAATCAAGGAGTATACCCATATAAGGAGAGTTGCTTTTCGAGCCCGTGATCTCGTGATCAGCTGTTCGTATCTAAGAGGGCGGGTCACCGCAAGGTACCTATCAACGCTTGCAGCAGTCAGGCTAAGCATCGACGCCGAGAAGCACAACACATCAATGTTAACCACCACGATCGGGAGAACTCTGTCACTTGGATCGCCATAGAGATCTTTCATAACCCATAAGGCTAGGCCCGCAACCAACAGCAGATCTGTCACTGCGAGATTGAGAATAAAGTAGTTCGTTATTGTTTGTAGCTGGCGAAAACGGATATACGCGTACACGATTAATCCATTTCCGGCCAATCCGATGATGACTATCGAGAGGGAAGTCGTAATAACTGCCATTGATGCGGTTGCTGTAGTACTGGTGTTGGTAGGCGTGGTTCTTGTGATGTTCATTGCGCTTCTGTGGAAATATAATCAATAAACAGTGTTTGAGCTGGTGTTGAGGAAGTCTATGTCAGCCTTTTAGTACCCTTAACACCCTTCATTGATTGAACTTAGAAAAAGCGGGCTGTCATGAGATAGCAGCGGTATGCATATAAAGTGGGCAAAAGAGCCAATGCGCAATCTTGGCGCAAGTGAAGTGAATTCCTCACAACCGATATCTTCTTGAGAATGCCCTGGTAGTGGGAGAGTGGGATGCTTGAAAGCGAATTAAATGACTTTAACGTAAAAAAATAAATAGATAAATAGTAATAATAGTAATAATAATAATAATAATAATAATAATAATAAAAGGAAAGAAGAGAAAAAAGAAAAAAGTAAGTAAGTGAGAAATACAGAGGAAACAAAGACAGAAAGAGGAAGAGAGAAAGAAACAAGGAAGAAACGAAGCAAGACAGACAGACACGTAGACAAAAGGATAGACAGACAGACTGACAGACTGACAGCCAAAAAAAGATTAGAGGAAAGGGAGGGAAAACTAAGGAAAGAAAAGAAAGAGAGAGAAATTAATCAATCGCAACTTCTCACTGTAGTTTAGGTTTTTAGTTTAGTTTTTGCCTTAGACACCACACTCCATTGTTTTGGTTTTTTAGTAGCAACGTAGCAGGAAAACATTAGCCAACATGGCACAAATCGTGACTGGAATTAATCTGACAGGTTAAACGCAAGTAAACACGGATATATTTAATTACATTGTAAGAAAGATGGCAGATTTCCCACTGAGATAAAATTTCGTTCTGAATACAGCTTCGATATTAACATTATTTATCTTAAAGTGAAAATCTGTATTATCTTAATATCGTTTCTACCCTAGACCCTTCATCGGTGCAACTAGTTTTAAAGGTCAACAATGCTTAGCTTCAATTTTGTAAAGGATAGCATTTGTGCGATAAACGGTAAGTGCTACAAGATTACCGAAATGTTGACACCACTTGAACATGTTCTCCGAGCATGTTATGAGTAATAATAAAAATGTTGGGTAAGTTTGAAAATAAATGAAAGTTCAATGTTTGAAAACACCGTGAGGCAAAATAACATATGAAAAAAAACTGCCTTCTTTAAGATTTCCTACCTTTTCGTTGAGGGTCTAACTGAACGGAACAAACGAGAAACAGGAAAGCTGCTTACGCTTAACTTCCTTCGTTTATAACACAACTGTATCATTAATGTTAATGCACCGGCAATGAGTAATTATTGATTTACCGCGATATGATTGGGTATCGTCGAGAGTTGACAGGTGCGCACATCTCGATGGTTACACAGTATGTCATTAACGCGATGTTTGTTTGTAAAAGTTGTCAATTTGCTAGTTCGAAGAGATAAAACATCTTGATATTACATGAATTAGAATTGTTAGGTTCTGTAATTAAAACGACAGGCACTAGAAACCGGGGGGGGGGGTACTCGCAGAAAAATTGGGTAGGGGTGTGCGGCCCGCTTCCCAAAACCCTTACCCTATTTATGACCAAAATCTGCGATTTTCCCTACCCTATTTATGACCTAACCAAAAATTTGATACCCTATTTATGACCTGACCCTTAAATCAATACCCTGTTTCAGACCTGCCTTATAATTATTTCCCTAGTTTAGACCAATGTTAAAGGCAATGTTTATCTGCTTTTATTAGGTTAGGGGGACATCATAAGGAAGTAGCTTCTTCTAAAAAAGTGCATTCAAGACTACAATGCAAAAATCGTTACCCTATTTATGACCAAAATGGCGGCAAAATAGCCAAAATCGATACCCAATTTATGACCAAAACGGCTGAAAAACCCTACCCTTTGGGGCCGCACATACCTATATAGCCCATATTAGGGAGTACCCCCGGCACTAGAAAACTGTTGTTGAGCTCTTAGTGTTAGAAGCCATTAGGCTCGGTTTCCACCCCTCTCTCAGCTTTGGTCCTGTTCCTCCTGAGAAGAGCGTGGGCTCATTTCCCAAACAGCAGCTGGTAATCGAGTCGATGATAGGCCGGGATCTCAAGATTCGAGAACGGAGACGGCGGAGCGGCGAAAACGTCGCTCTAACAGTGAATTCACGTTCTTTTAATCTTCATCTCGATTATTCCTATTCACTTATTACTCGCTCTCTTGGAGAGTGATCCTTTCTCGGGGTGCGTTAAGCTCTGAGGCTTCTGAGTCAGGATATTCATGCGTAAAACTTTGTTTTAAAAGAGCTGTGTCATTTCTTTTTCTCGGGATTACTTAAAAAATAAAAAATAGAATAATAATAAAAAAAATATTCTACAACAGTATGAAACCTCAACTAGAAGTGTATGTCTTTGGCTTTCTATAGACACTTAGATACTTGGAATCTTTGTTTAAACTAACTTGCAATGATATTGTTTAAGGGACATAAACCTACTATGAGCTAAATACTAAATACAAAATGCCTAAATTACTTAGCTCTTAAAAGAAAGAAAGAAAAAAATCGAGCAGCATTAAACTAGGGATATGATTATAACTGTATACCAGCAAAGTCCATTATGAATATTATATTAGGTTTTTAAAAGATCTAAGATCCTGAGGCAATCCGTAACATTATCTTTAAGAGAACTCCATAAGTTAGGCCCTTAAATATCTACTCGATTTTAGTCCATATTGTATTACATTTGGGAGGAGATAAAATATTAGACCTCCCAAGGTCATATGGTGTACAGGTGAAAAAAAGAAATGCTTAATATATGATGGAGCTAGATTATTTAATTCTGTATACACTTTCTTGTTAAGTTAAAGGCAATATTTTGAAGTCTTCAATTCTTTTTGGTCATCGTTAATTGGGACTGATAGTCGTTATGGATCCTTATCTTGAAAAACACTCCATAAAGCTCGTTCATTTAATTTTTTAAGCTTATTGAAACGGATTCCAAATTGAAAAACTTGAATAATCGTTTCTAGGTTGAACCGCCTGTGTGGTAGAAAAATCAACAAAGGGCGACCATGCTTCGATTTCCCTTCGCAATAATCATTGATATATTTTTTATAGTTCTAAGTATGACAAAAGAGAATGCTTAGTTAGTTATGATTTTAAGTCCCATTTTAGGTTTTAATGAGCTCAGGGAAACGATTTGGTCGAGTCTTTTTGTTTTCTTGAGTAATGGATAGTTACGACCATAACCGATGAATAATTTATCGATTAATTATGGTTCGGTTCTTGGCTGGTAATGGACTGTCATACAATGTTTGAATGAATTAGCGACAACCTGAAACTCATCTAAAACGCAAATCATGTAACAGATATTTCAAGAAAAATAGTGTAATTAAAGTGGAAAGCTCCCACCACCCCCAACTGAGATTCCATCGGCTTCTCAAAGAGTGCAAGTCTCACAAATTGCTATTAAAAAGGTCATTCCTTACAGTTTTTCGGAGATCATACCGTTATTTTTTATCTTTTTCCTCGTCCGATCACCATTAATTTTTCACCTCCAATTGACTTTGTATTGAATTTTGTCAACAACGCTCAAATAAACAAGAAAGCGCTTAATTCACCAAAATTTCCTATCATGGAAATATAATTATTAAACAGCATTGTGATACTACTTCGGAGTAATTTGAATTTTTTAAAAAATTTGAATTCAAACATACAGAATTTTTCTCTGTCACGGTAGATTTTGCTTTGTTGAAATTATTTTTTGCTTGTCGTCGCCATGGTAATATCGATCCTTCCAGGGTCCTTTCATTCTTGTCCCCCGGAGTGACAAGTAGGAGAGGACCCTGGAAACGAGAATGATTTATCGGGATTAAGACGCTTCACCTCTCCCCCAAAGGAAAAACTCACAAGGCTTTGTGGGGTGGGGACGGGGGTTGTATTGTGGGTTTATCTTAAACTTAATGCCTTCAATGACTGCCAGTTATGTTGGATAAAATCTCCATACTGATTGCAAAAAATCTAATGGGCAACTAGCAATCAAATCTATTCGAAAGTGAATGATTGTGTTATAATTTTAATGTGCGACTTACTTGGATGGATTCCAGCAGCGACAGCGATAGATCGCCTTGTTTGGCGATAGACAACTTAAGGATCATAAATTTACGAAAAAAAGAATCACTACTTCTCCGGTACCTCGGTGGAGACTATGAATTAGCGCGAGTTAATGAATTAAAGATTGTGTGAATTGTGAATTATGATTCCATGGTCAACGTATAAAATAGCAAAATACACCTTTGCGATTGAGGCAAAGCTTATTCATGATGGAAAAGATAATAATTTTTAAAAAAGTCCTGAAAAAGCCCGCTTAACATTATATTTTCTTTTGGTTCACCGTGTCGCCTGAAAGCCTTTTTGCGGTTTTCCATTTATTTGGTGCTTTCACTTCAGACTAGTCAAGACAAGTATTGAACTGGAAATACAATATGGGTAAAATCGTTACATAACCATTTTCAATTTTTTCTTTCGCGATTTAGACCCTGATATATTTGTTTATCTAAATGAAATTGGCACTATGGCCTGAATTGGGAAAATAAAATGTCTTAAAAACATTCGGTGCTATTCCCGGATCTTCTAAAGGCTCTTGTGTATGTATATAATTTTCAGTGCGGTATACTGTTTGAGTGATTCCTTTTAACTGATAATTTAAAATTACATTATGAATTAAGAGCTGTCACTCTCTTCATTTGAATTTGATTGACAATCACCTTAATTTTGAGACATTTGTGCTCGCGTACGTAAAGGTAAAATTTCCTTCATTGCACTGAAGTTTTTGTCATCGTAAATTAATGTTGATTGCTTTTTTTGACTCAAAGAGACGGCTCAGCTTATCTTTAAGTTGAAACTGTTTATACAGCTAGTAGGAGTATTCCGCTGTAGTGTCACACCCAAAGCAAAAATAGTCCAGTCCATAATTATGTATGATTCAATTTAGAGCTTCTAATTAAACAATCATGTTGTTTTGAATGCACCCAAGAATGTATATAGTATATCCAATGTCATTAACCTGAGCGCTCCAAAATAAATTCAACAAAGTTCTTTCAATTATTTTATTTGCATATATGTGTCAAACTATTTTGCAATAAAAAACGAAATTGAAATCCTAATGGTACAACGGCTGGCAAATATTTAGAGCTGTTGCGAAACTACAAGTTATTCAATTGGACTTTCTTTCGTGACCGAAGTAATCATAAATTGAGGGAGTATTAATTAACGAAAAAATACATAAATATAAAAAACAAAGTTATTACAGCAAATAACACACCGACGCATTCTCTGCTGTTATTAATTGAAGAAAACGTCGCAACTGAAGTTAGCACTTCATAAAAACTGTTTCGCAATCGTTGTCCTTTGTTAGCACAGTTTCTGACATCTGACACTTGAGTGATATCTAATTTAACGTGCTTCTACCAATCCTAGCAATAGATTACGAAGCCTGATTGATTCAAAATGGGACTGTTCTCCTGAGCTCTCATTGAATCCTTTTGATACATTTCAGTTTTTGTCCCCGCTTTAAATTCTGCTTCTCGAGATATTATGTTGTATAGTGACTCCCTAAGCTCCTTATCATTTGCTCAGTCGAATCCAGAATATTTTGTGAAATTGCTCGACGATAAGTAGTTTTCATACTGAGAGATTATTATCTACCTTTTCATTTCTTAATTTTCAACGTCCCGGGCATTAAGATGTCAATTTTTGTACGTATCGATCAAAAGCAATTTTTTTTTTTTAACGAAAGAGAACAGGGAGTTCATTGTTTAAAATAAGAATTCGCTCCTCACGTGGAGACTTCCACCACCTCTACCTTTGTAAGATTTTTAGTATTGCTTTCTAAGCTTTGTGTTTCTTGGCTCGTTAATTTAGCAAAGAAAATTACTTGCACTGCACGAAGCTGACAGATTGATGATTAAGCAGGAGCTACCTAATGGAGGCAATTCTCGAAGTTAACTTTTCGTGCTAGTCACTCTAAAATGCAATGAAATTGAACACGTTTTAGTAAATATATTTCCACTTTAGCTAAATTAGAAAAAAATATTGGTAATGATAAAATAAAATAAAATGGAGTAAAATAAAGTAAAACCAAGAAACTCAGCCTTCTTTTGTTTGCCATCTTATACCGTTTACACTCGTCGTGCCAAAATGGAAGATAAATAATCTTGGGTCAATTCTCCATCAGCGAAACAATAGAAAACATCGAGTTCTGTTTTTTTAGAGCTTAGTGTAAGTTAAAATTGTCTTACAAAAACCTTTTTCCTTTCCCCATTCTTAATCCAAGCCCTCGTCAATGTTAAAGCTGATTAGTTGGACCCGAATATTATTACTGCCGAATCTAATTTACAACTGTAGCTCATTGACTTAGTAACAGAACTTTACACTTCCTCTTGTTCCACGAAACCTGACCGTTTTGGATTCTTTTAGAAATTGACCTTTTAATTTTCTTGCTCCTTCTACAATAGCAAGTGAAAATTTGAAGTTCGTTTGAAAATAAGAGTATTGTACACGATGTCTCCTGTTACACCTGCTATGTTAAGAAGTTAGATCATTGTTTGTTGTACATCTTGAATAATGCCTTGCCGTTTTCTTGTCATTTTCGAAGACATTATTTAGTTTTTCAATGTTCGGGTGGTAGTTTTACTTCCACTTTTACTTTTGCTGTCTTGTTTGTAACTCGAACGAACGCTGCCCGTTAATCCGTGCCTTCTACTCTATAGCAAACTTCGAATCAGCATCACATCTCAGGAAAGCGTCTTTCTGGATAAGAAACAGGTGAAGCTTGAGTCGTTGTCGCTTTTGTCGCGGAAAGGTGGAATGTCTCGCTCACGAAAAGCGGGCGATTGTTTCGCTCGAAGCAGCTAAAAAAGATCTTCCTGTAGTCTTTTGTGAGGAAAATGTATATGATCGGGTCCACAGACCCCAAAATGCTCCCCATGTTACTTATAATCCAGTCCTGTAATGTTGTTATGCAATTTTTACAAAATATGCATTTGCGGCAATATATTTCGACTACGCTGATGGTATAGAAAGCAGTCCAGAACATCAGGAGTGGTGCAACAAGAACAAGGATATGAAAGGCTATTTTAAGGTTCTTGGTGAGAATATTCGCCGTCTCGTTCGCACCCTGGTTTTGGTGTGGGTTGTGCCGCAGGTGTCTAGAAGCGATAAGGAAGATTTTGATATAACAGTACAAAGTGATAGCCAAAGGGAGTAGCAAATTGCAAAAAGCCAGTAAAGGCGTATAACCAAATTTGAAGACCTCCTTATTTGGCAATTCGCTGGTCAGCCCTAAAAGCGCAATCACGGCTGAATGAAACCAAATGTAGGCGATGACGAGAAGAGCTTTTCGCCCGGTGATAAAAGTGGTATAGTGCAAAGGCTTAGTGACGGACAAAAAGCGGTCATAGCTGAGCACAGTCAAGGAAACGATGCTTGCCGTGCTGCAGAAAACCTCAAAGATGGTTAAAAACAACATATATTCCGTTACCTCTCTTAAGGTTTTTAGGTTGGCTTGCGTTGCTTCCCAAATGCAAAGGACCAACAGCAACATCATATCACTGATGGCAAGGTTGACTACAAAATAGTTATTCACTGTGCGTATTCTTCGGTAGTAGGCAAAGGCGAAGCATATAAACGAATTTGCACTAAATCCCAAGATTATTATCACATACTCTGCAATTCTATATCCGAGAGAATTATGCGTGCTTTCCCCAGGATTTGGCAAGGTAGTATCGTTTCCTTCAGACGGGTTCATCCTGAAAATAAGGTCCACTGGTTGACGAAGTTGCCGTTGCTTTCTTTCTTCTTAAAAATATATCTTTTTTCTTTTTCCTTTTCAAACAGAGACTATCGTGTGATGACAGAAGGAGTCCTTCATCAAAATCGCTCCTGGAAAGTCATTAGTATTCCTGCTAACTGCTCTATTACCAGTAATTTAAAAGGTTTCACAATTCCTGCTTCGTCCTACCGCGCCTTCCAGTAAATATGTCTAGTTTCGAACCGATGTGATTCCGGCGAAATCCGTTTAGCCAGGGTTTTGGTCTTTTTCGGTTTTCATCGCTAACATGTTTTGTTTATATAGCCTCAAAATGTCAATCCCAAGTGTCCTCGGTGCCCTGCTGTCATTCGCAGCGGTCATACTTCTTAAGTATATTTGTATTTATGGTAATACAATTCTCTCTCAATGCTTCCGATATCCCATTACAATCTATGGGTTTATCTGCAAAGAGGTGCCGGTTAAGCGACTTGAAATTCTACAAACTTTCGCGGACATCAATCAAATCATCGATACGAACAAGTGATAAAGAACTCTTCATCCACTTATGGCTCTCTGTCTCAATGCTTGGTAATCTTTGAGATCTGAGGCTCATGAATTTAGCAGGGGCGTTTTGACCATGTGTTTTAATTGACTAGAAATGACGTCTATTGTTCATGAATTTATTTCTTGCGACGCTCACAGGTGAAACGGATCGAAACTCCCCCCCACTAAATTAACATTCACGCAAATATCCTGATGCTAGGTAAACATTGCTTTGTCGAATCTATCTTTGAAGAAAAACAACATGCATTAACAGTTTTGTTCCGAGGACACGATGTTCTCTTTGACGTTGGTCACTTGCGCCACAGACTTTGCCATTTTAATATTTTTTGTTTGACTTCTTGTCATAAACTGTCAGTTTTTTTTTCATAAGTTAAAACAAAATTCATTTCGAGCTGCTTAATTGAAGAAATCGACACTAATAACTATCTTGTTTCGAAAGTCTCGTGAATATCTCCTTTCCGTCAGCTCCCAAATCACTTTAGTGTTACTATTGTAAGATTTTTCCCTCCAAGTATGTGTGAGAGAGGTGATCTTATAAATGTTTGTCTACCGGTTTGATATCTACTGCGTGTAAATGAAATTTGTTGGAAACGTTTCATAATTTTGTCATGAGTGACAAAGTTCAGAGTCCAAATGGAAATTTAATTTAAGCGAAATACACTGAGTCTATAAACGTTTTATGCGTCTCTGACAGACATCGGTATACGTTAATTGAACTATTGGCATACCTAAGTATTGCACCCAGAGGCAAGGGATTGAATATAACTTGTTAGAAATCTTCCCGTAAAATGTGCTTGGTTTTCTTTTGGTTTTTTTGTGTGTGGTTTAATATTACGTTTACGCTGATATTTTTTTGCGTGTTGGCAACGATGCTAAGGGAAAAACTACTTTTTCACTGAGCCAAGAAATTTTTCATGAATCGTCATTTGTTGATATTCGTTTAAACGAAAGTCATCTGAGGAAGGATGCTGTCATCTATAAACAAAGAACTTGAAATTAAGATGGCCTTTTATTAACTCCAGCAACATGTTTTGCGTTCATAACGGCATTTGAATATTCAGTTTAAAAAAATAAGTTTACCTGTACTCTTAATAGAATAGAGTTAATCAAACGTCTAGTTATTTACCACGCTTGTCTCAGGCGTTCTTATTTCTTTCCGTAAGGCATATAATGTGTTTTTAGCGTTTTTTTTTTTCTGTCGATATAATGCTATGCATGACCACTCAGAGACGCTTGAGAAAGGTTCATTTTTGTCCTTGGTTTAAATTTTATTTCTGTTTGTTTTTGGGAATGGTAACGTATGCTAATGAGTTTGAGACTGCGAGCGTGAATACGATTCTACAGAGACCATTCATATGATCCAACTTAAAATAGATCTTCCCTCTTGGAGCTGCGTTTTTCAATTTTGTTGTCAGATGAAGCACCGATGATATATGAAATTTCAAGTTTCACAATTCAAGAAGGAAAAGCTGACGAGCAATGCTTAATCCTGTGTCAGTGTTTTTTTTTAATTAATACACGGGAAAATTAAATACTGAAAATGTATTATATCTTCTTTGGGTGACTTCCTGTTGTCTCGTCCAACACCATTGCCATATTGATAAATAGCTGGGTAAATTACATGTTCATGAAGATTTAGAGTTGAAATTCGGTCCATCAATTTTTTCGATAAGGTTAATATGAAATACCGCAATAACATAAAATTTAAGGGGAAAAGCAAACACACAAACAGACAAACTAACAAAAATAAAACAAAAAGTAAAGAAACAAAACAAAAGCAAAAGAACCAAAAAAACATGCTTAAGCACTCAGAACCTGGTCACAGAAATGTTACCCAAGATCTTACGGTAAGCAAATAACGTTAATTATATTTGTGATCGACGCCTTACGGCTTTAGGTGCCATTAACACATACGCTGATATGTGATTTTCCCCTTGCTTAGTTTACCACCTGCAAAATCATCTATCGCCACACAAAGTATGCCACTTCGTCTGCACTGACCGAAGCTAAGGCGAACGATCTATTGAATAGTTGTTGGCTTCAAAAAATAAAATAAAAAACCTTCTGACGGTTTTCACTCGTATTATTTCGGTTATTACAGCAATAAGTTATCATTAAAACCCCAGTCAGTCACACAGTTAAAATTACAGACATTCAGGCAATCATATTCGAAGAATACATGACGTTTGTGGTCTATTAAAATTTTTATCAAGATTTCATCCAACATTACTGGCAGTTATTGTCACAAGCCATTTGCTACAAGGTTAGCCCACAATATGAAACAACATGACCACTCCCCAGGCGACAAACCCTTTTGAATTTTTTTGCGGTTGTGGGCAGGGGATCTTTATCACATCGACCTGATAATTAAGCATTGTTGTTATATTCCTAGAATTTCACTCTACTAAACAGGGACTGCCATTGGTTGATTCTTGGTCACGTGGCCTTGACTAAAATCAAATGTATCCCGATCGTGATACATTAAACAATGTATCCCGCTCGGGATACATTGCAGCACGTGATCAAAGCATGGTGGAAAGTGGCGTGACAGAAGGCGGGAAAAACACCGCCGGGTCCTGCCGGTTTTCTTTTTCGTGAATGAACACAACAACACAATCACGAAGCCTCAAGCTAAAAGCAACGATTTTTAAAGTTATCCCAGAAGTTCCCAGAAGAAAAACAGCAGCTAGTGGAGGAAAAAGATGCAGATGATATAAGGAAAGTACTTTTGTTTGTAAATCATTCATTCAGTGGTTTTGAGAATTAAATTTGTGTTGTTATAAGTACCGAGTCGACTGTTTTGGTTCGTTTTCGTTCGCTCCGATTATTCTTTTGTTGCTGTTGAAGTGAAAGTTCTAGAAATATAACAAAACACTTAATGTCAGATCCCTCGGGAAACCAGTTAGTTTTGTTTTCCCTCGAGTCCTGATGTTTCCCTCGACTTCGTCTCGGGAAACATCAGGACCCTCGGGAAAACAAAACTAACTGTTTCCCTTGGGATCTGACATTAAGTGTATAATATTTATATTCTAAAACGTCTGGTTTTTATATCTATAGAGCTCAGTGGAAGACAAAGAAAAACGAAGAGGATGATGATGATGATAATAATAATAATAATAATAATAATAATAATAATAGTAATAATAATAATACTTTATTAAACTCTTCTCAAATTGAAAATTAAGTACAAATTTAGTATAACTATAGTTAAAAAAAGACTTCTTGGTGGTCTGGTGGTTTCAGTCAACAGAGCAAATTAATGTAAACAACTGTCTATAAACTAAAAAAAAAGAAAATTTCTATGTTCATCGCAATGATAAATATAATTATTAAATTTTACTATTTACAGATTCAAGAATATGAAATATTAAAATATATACCCTATGTACATTCTTCTTGTGTACGAAAGAGAATTATCGTAAAATGACTATCTAAAGACTACTAATAAAACAATTATAAAAAGCATCAAAAAGTTAATTAAAAAAAAAACTATTTAAAAATAATAATTCAAACTGATAAAAAGTCACTACTTAAATTCTGGCTTGCGCACTTTCCGATGTAATGTCAATGTCAGATATATTGGCTAATAATAATAATAATAATAATAATAATAAAATAACATTCGCCTTGTCATCAAGTAAGGAAACCGAGAAATGAATTTTGACCGAACTTACACTTTATGCGCTCTCTTTTAGATAGAAAATTATCCTTCGAAGAGAATGTGCAAATAAAAGACCAAAACATCTTTGCTCTTTACTGGCTTCTACTTCGGTCATTATGAACTTGCGTTTCTCAGGTTTAGTTTTGCTTTTGTCACGTAACCTTCCGCACCAGTATTTTTGCAATTTTAGTGCCTTTTGGCATGTTGGACGTTCAATCCAAATTTTCGGACAGTTACAAGCGTGGGGAAATTGCACCAGGTAGATGGTTTCTTTAGTAGAAATCACGTACTACGAACAATTTAGCGGCTTTAAAACCTAATAATCGCGAGTTTTTTTGAGATTATTTTGCTCTTAAAAGAGTTCAATTCACTCTTTGAATTTTATTCAATTATTAACTATTTTTAAAGTTAAGTCTTAGAGACGTCATTCCGCCATCTGGCATTATTAGTATTATTAATATTATCATTATTATTATTATTACTATTATTATTGTTATTGATACTATTATTATTCATAATATTAATGATAATAATAATAATAATTATCGCGTTCGTCAGAGCGCATCCTAATACGGAAAGTAACAAGCTTCCATAAGACAATTTCAAAGTAATTTTTTTCTAAAATTTAGAAGGAAGTTCTATTACTATTAATTCTACAATATCCCAGTTGATTACGTGGCAGTTTATGCGTAGACAATCTCCCTTCAATTTTATGTCGGTATCGTTGTGCTTTATATTAAGAAAAATATCACCTATTCAGTCCTTTTACCTT